TTCTTCTTTTCAAGACATTCTCACCGTGTATCCCTGACTGGCCTGGAACTCACTATGTACACCAGGCTTACCTCAAATTCAGGGAGATCCACCTGCCTCTGCCTCCTGAGTGCTGAGATTAAAGTTATGTGCCGCCATGTCTGGTTATTAGCTTTTTTATGTATGAAGGATGATCTGAGTCAGGAATTTTTTCAGACCATCAAGAAAACTGACCAAGGAATAAGAGTTTTAAGACAGAGTATAAAAATAATCCAAACTGTATTCCAGTAAAATTCATTCAAAGGTGCAAACGGTGAAAAGGTGATTTTAAACTAATAGCTTTTACTGCGGTTCTGCAACAGGATTCTCCCAGTGATACTTGCTGTACCACGCGTATTCAGGATTCTCCCAGTGATACTTGCTGTACCACGCGTATTCAGGATTCTCCCAGTGATACTTGCTGTACCACGCGTATTCAGGATTCTCCCAGTGATACTTGCTGTACCACACGTATTCAGGATCCTCCCAGTGATACTTGCTGTACCACGCGTATTCAGGATTCTCCCAGTGATACTTGCTGTACCACGCGTATTCAGGATTCTCCCAGTGATACTTGCTGTACCACGCGTATTCAGGATTCTCCCAGTGATACTTGCTGTACCACGCGTATTGGTTGTCTAGGTTGCAAGGGTCAAATATAGACTTACTCCACTCTCCCCTCTAGCGTCTCAACAGATTTATCCTGCTTTGGGCTCTATTCAAAGCTAGCGACCTTCTAGTTTCCTTTATGATTGTGCCATAGTGGTATGTTCAAATGTGTATTACTCCACTTTCAAAACAGAGGCTAGCAGGATGCTTGGTTGTCCTCTGAAAGACAGGGACAGATGAGGTTCAGTAAATCCTCTCTGGCTGCCGGAGAAATACTCCACTGCATCTCTCTGACCTTGTAGGCTTTACTGGCAAGGACATTGTTTCATAAAATTTGGTGCTGAGTTCTGCCAAGCACAGACATTAATGTACTCCATCTGTGGCTCTTCTGCTTCTCCTATCTAATGTTTTGCTGTCATCTACATGATGAGTGCGAGGTGTTCACACATTCAGAATCTCTGTGGAGTGGAGGATGCATGGAGAAAGAATATTCTAATTGAAGCGGGACAGTAGAGGTGTAGCTGGTCTTGCCAAGTGGAACAACCTGTTAATTTTTGTTATCTTTGTGTTGTTGTGAAGGAAAAGCACTTGCTAGCTAGTACAGCGTATCAAATGCCAGGATGTCTCAATTTTCTCAAGAAGGAGCTTCCATCTGGAGTGGCAACTGTAGTTGAGATCATCTAATTAAGTTTATGATAATCCGCCATGGCTCTTCTTTCTTTTTATTTTAATTTTTTGCCATGCTTTTCAAATCTATTACTTCTTGCGGTGGCAAAACTAGTGAAAGCATTTACTAAACATGTAATTCTCAAGTTTCTGTTCTCTTTTGGGATGCCTTGCTGAAGAAATGAAGCTTTGCCTGTTTGTAACTAACTCCTCCTAACTCAGGTTAGCCGCTGCTAAAAAATTTGAAGTTTGGAGTCCACCCGTTGTTGAAAGAACACATTCTAGTTATAAACTCAATGATTGGAAAAATAACACCAATACAATTCCTTAGGTTTGTTTTTAAATGTTTGATGTTTTCTGGTGTTATTAAGTGTGGGATTGCTTTACAATTTTACTTTCCAATTTTCCTTTGCATGTATGTAGAAATTCAGTTGCCTTTTTCCTTACTGACCTCTTACACTGAGGCCTTGTTGAATTTACTTACTGTAACAAATCCTCTCTATCCCTGCTTTTCTCTTGTTTTTTTTTTGTTTGTTTGTTTTGTGTCATGATAGTTACCTGAAAGAGCTGACAGTTTTATTTATTTACAATTATTTTCTAGCTTCTTTAACCTGCCTTACTGCATTGACTAGGAAGGCCCTCCAGTGCACTGTTGAGTAGAATTAGTGAAGCAGGTACCTTGTGTCATTCCTGCGTTCGGAGGTAAAAGCCAAGATGTAGGCACTGGGTTCACTGCTGCTGGACAGTGACTTTCTCATATCTCAGTGGAAAACCTTAAAATGTTTGTTGCATGGCTGTGTATGTAAGCATATACTGTGTTAACTGAGTACATGTCTTAATTAGGGTTTCTATTGTTGTGATAAAGTACCATGACCAAGAGCAGCTTGGGGAGGAAAGGGTTTATTTCATCTTACAGCTGGATGATGTCCTCTATCATCCAGGGAAGTCATGACAGAAACTCAAGCCAGGCAGGAGCCTGGACACAGGAGCTGATGCGGAGGTCATTGAGGAGTTCTACCTCCTGGCCTGCTCAGCCTGCTTTCTTATAGCACCCAAGACCACCAACAGAAGCTTGCTATGAGCTGTCCTCTCCCACATCAGTACTCCATCAAGAAAATGCACAAAGGCTTGCCCACAGACCAGTCTAATTGGGGTGTTTTTCTCCGTTGAAACTTTCTCCTCCCAAATGACTCTAGCTTATGTCAAGTCAACATAAAACTAGCTGGGATGATATATATGCGTTTCTCCCTAATTATTATTCAGCTCATAAGAGTCACCTCTAGCCTTCCCCTTTCCATATTCTAACTCCTTTATCTTACATAAAAGAGCTGGCTACATTAACCTGGGAGTTTTGCTCTTGATCGTCAGGCTGTACACAGGCTTTCTCCTCTGGCTCCATGCCTCTGTTTATTTTATTTCCCCTTTGTAGACAACCCTCAACATGGACTCCAGTGGACGCTCATCATTCACCATGCAGATGAATGTTGCTCCTCTGCGCTTCAGCACCTCGATCAGGGCTTTCTCAGCCAAGCAGCCTTGTGTGCTCCACTCTCTGCACACCCTCCCCAGTCTTCTCCTTCCCGTCATCTGTCAGTGCAGTACACACTTTGTCCTGCATGTGTGAATGCCTGTAGGAGTTGAAGTCCTGACACTAATAACTTACATTTCCAGTTTTTCTAACTAGTCTGTTCTAATAATTTATCAATTTTATTTCTATTTTTTAATGAATTATATTTTCATTTGTTAAAGTTTTCTGATCTATACGTGTTTTTAAATTTATTTTTCTGTTTATCATTTTATCTTTTCTATTTTCAGTTTCTATCCCTTTTATTTATTTTTTTGTTTTATTTTCTTGAAGTTGCCACACATATTCTAAAATTGCACTTAAACCTGGGGAATTCTTGATTTACTATATGTCAGCGGCTATAAAGGTATTATATAATTTAATCAATTGATAGATGAAGTACAAGAATGAGGAGAGGAAAGTGTCGTTTAATGAGTTAAACTGACAGCTGAGGCTGCATTTGTAGCTATCTACAGAAAATGAAGCTATCGTGTTTACCTTCGTGTTTTGTCTTCCTTGGTCATCAATTTGGGGGCAAATTTCTGATACCCCGACTTTTCTGTGCTTCTTTTTTATTATGTGCTTTGGGGTTTGTTTGTTTGTTTTGGGGGGGGTGCTGTTATTGCTTGCTTTGTTTTTTGTTTTTCTTTCTCTGTCTTCAGATTTTATTCTCATGCTTGTGACTTCTCAGTCTCAAGGTGGCCACTGAACCTCAAGTAGAAGGAAGGACAGAGATGCCAATTGGGTGTCCCCGTTTTTATCAGGAAAGCCAAAGCATTCCTGGCATCCAGGCTAAACCCTGCCCTTGTGCCCACTGGCAGGGACTGCTGGGAGGACAGGGCTCCATGTGTGGACTCTGTGATGGCAGAGTTGTCTTGTCTCAGTTATTAATACGTCCTCTTGCATAGCTTCAGGTGCATCATTTTGATAACTTTTTAAAGTTTGTACTAGACTCAGAAGGTAAAATGTTTTATTTAAAGTTAGGGCCTTTGATCAACTATGTAAATTTATAATTAAGGAATTAATATTTTTCTTTTGAATGAGAGCTTTGGTTTTTTTAAAATGAGGCCTTTAATTTTTATGTAAAATTTAAGAAAGAGCTGTATTGAGTTTTTTAACTGACCCCTACAGTAATTTTATCTTAAACTACCTTTTTCAGAGTTTCTTTTGTAGGAGCATTGTTTAACTTTACTATTCAACACCTAATTCTGGATCTATCTATGTAGTCTTGTCTACTTAAATTGTAAGCAGAGCCAACATGTCTACAGTCCATACAGTTTTATGACCTCCCTCCTGGTCTATGTGTATGATGACAGTGTATGCATGCACCAGAGCATCTAGACTTAATGAAGTGTGGAGTGTTCAATAACCATTATTAGAAGATAGATAAGAGTTAGAAGTGTTTAATTTCTTAAAAAGAAAATGAAAAGTTGCTATATTTTTAAAACAAAGTTTATTAGGTTTTTAAAAATTTTATATTATATGTGAATCCCTTATCCCTCCTTCATCCCAACCATTTATAGATATGTTTACTCTCCATTGCAGGATGAGACAGATTATTGAAGCAAAAGTTTTAAAAGATAATTTAATAGAAGGTGGAGATGTGGCTTCACATCATTGCTGGAAGCGATACTTCCTGTGGGCCAGGAAAAGCTGGGCACTCAGGTAGACTCAGAGATGGCAAGCAGGGACTGAACATGGCTTCTTTAGTCTCTAAAACCAATTAGATGTGGAAAAATGCTAAGCTGAATGTTGACTGGAATTCATCCCCATAACTGAGAAAGTAACAGAGTTCTTATGTTTTACCCACCATACTTGTATGGCCTCTTGACAGGTTACCAATTACAAGGAAATTGGTGACGTACACATGGCATTGGAAATGTCTGGAGAGAGGATCGAGTAAACAGACAGTTTGGGTCATTTTTGTCTGTGTGGTTTATAACAGTGAATGGCTTTAATGTTCCTGATCCTATGGGTGAGAGGAAAATGATGTTATTGCTGTGCCTGGTCCGAGGAAAGAGAAAAGTCGTTGAGGATCTTCACAGCTGTGCTGTTGAGCCTTTGCTTTACTGTTTAAGGTTATTTACCATTCTTGTATACTGCCAGTGACTGGAAACAGTGACCACACTCTTGTCCTTGGTAGGAAACTGCATTCAGAGAATGAGAAGGACACCTCCATTGGATGAGCTGCAGCCACCACCTTACCAAGATGACAGCGGTTCGCCTCACCTCTCATGCACACCCTCGGAGATCGGGGATGGCAAGTGTGAGATTTCCCGCTGCAGCAACAGCCCACGCTGCTCTTTCAACAAGTGCCCCAGCGAAGGAAGCACAGGGCATGAGGCAGAGAGCTTTCACAATAAAGGCTATGAAGATGATGTCCCTAGCGACAGCACCGCAGTCCTCAGTCCTGAAGTAAGCAGAAGCATCCTGCAGCGTCCAGGGAGCGTGCTCTGGAGATTAAGGGCCTGCGCTTTCTCTCAGCCTCGTAGCTTCTCACTCCACTGTCAAGCCTTCACCTGACACACTCAATGAGGCTGCCGCAGCCTACATATCCCAAACTTTCCCATAGCAGAGACGGAAGTAGGCATGGTTGTTGTGTCTTAAATATTTTACATAGAATGTTCTGGAACGATTTACCTTTTTGCTTATATTTTGTGCTTTTTATTATCATTTTATTTTGTTTTAATTTGCTATTTTTGTTCTTTTATTAAAATTTTATTCAGTGTTTTATAAGCCTTTCAAATTAATCTTACTGTATTTTTATTTCATAGAGATGAGAAGAATAAATGCTGGTTAGCTTTACGGGTGAAATTTTACAATTTCCTAAATTTAGTGTGGCTGACTGCTTTTGTTTGTTACTTTTCTGGAGTGAAAAAATGAGAAAATGGTGATAAAATAATTGTAGTTTCGAAGTCTTTTTGTAATCCATAAAGAATTTGTCTCATTCATTCTTAGGATGAAGACTAAGTTATCCCAAGCCTCACATGCAGCAATTATCTGTAGGAGCTGCTTTCTTTCACAAGTTTTACGTTGCAAGGTCCTTCAGCTTTCGCCCCATCAGCATTATCCCTCTGACATGGTCTGTGCTGTCTAAATAATGTAGGTAGTTTTCTAATGCACAGTGTGATTAAACTATAGACACAATTTGTTCAGTTTGGGGTTTTCTCCTATAATTTAAAAGTACTATCACTGCTTTCCGGTAGCTTTAGTATTATCATGTAGTATCTGACCTAGAAGGAACTGCTGAGTTGGGACTTTAAGTTTTAATGTGTCATGATTCTACCACTTTCCTGTGTGCTATCACATAAACATATTTGAGAACTTTATGTTTTGCAAACTATATAGGTAGCCACTGACTTAGCAGTGACCCTGGATTATAACAGTGACCACAATAGTATCTATCTGACATCTAGACAGCTTATTCATTGTTCATAGTCACTGCTTCAGGAAGTAAAAACTGCTAGCTTCAGAGAGAAGCAGGCAGCTCTGTTCCCCCAGGTCCCTGCATGTGCAGAAAAGGAGTTAGTAGCAGCTACCTTACTCTTTACATTCTTGTTGAGTGGGTTGTTGTTTGAGGGTTCTTTGTTATGATATTGCCATCTGGAAATACTACAAGGCAAACTGTCCCAGAAACCTTAACCAAAGTAACATGTTCAAATGCAACCAAATGCTTAAGTGTATGTGTGTATATCTTCCTCCTCTTCAGATGCAAAGCAGACATTAAGCAAATGAAGGTAGAGTAGATCAACACAACTTGCCACAGGATGTCAGAGCAGATAGGTGGCGAGCCCACACCGGCCCGTACGGCCTATGTATCCTTCTCAGTGTCTGCAGGTCTGTTTATCACTCGATAGCAGGTACCAGCACTGAGATTTGAAAAGAGGCACCCACAACTGGCAGCAAGCTCTTGTTTATGGGATAAATAAAGGGAAAATATACCTGTTTACCCCTGGAACTTGCCAATTAGAGAAACTTGCTACCTGAGAAACAGGTTTTTCCCTGTATTTCGTAAGTAGAACCTGTGGGTGATAAAAACCCTTGGCTCACAGTCAACATGGCAAGGCATGGACTTTCCATCTCTTGGTGAGCCTCGTATCCACTTGCTCCATCATGCTTTCTTTGTAGTCCATGGATTGCTGGCTTATCTTCTAGGTTGCTACCTTAGGAATTCTTTCTGCACATCTCTCAAGCTGCTTGCTTATCTGTGCGTAACCACTGCTGTGTGTATTTCAGAAGCTGTGTACTTGCTGTGATAACACTATGCAGTTTCTCCCATGCTTGTGCCTTTTATAGCACACAAATACATTCATATAGTACATCAAGTACACATTACATGAGTGTTTAGATGTGGAATGTTTTATAGCACCCCCGAATACATTCATACAGTACATCTAGTAAATACTACATAAATGTTTAGATGTGGAATATTGGATAGCCTAGGCCACTATAAAATTTGTATTTTTTTAAGTTTATTTTACATCCTTGTAATATCTATCCTGCATCAGAGGATCCATGTAACAGGTTCATCAGCTAGCTCTATTGAAGACTTTCTGCAAATAATGACACCCAGCACCCTGATAGGGAAAGATTTTTTTCTCTTAGTGCTTGTTTTAGGAATGTGAATAGTAGCATTGGTATGTAAGATTTCACCTGTATTTCTAAGGACTGTTAGAATGTCAGAAGTAAAACCCAGAAATTTAGGACCTCATAAAGTGTTTATTTTCTGAAAACCCTTGTTACCATGATAATTATTTTTAAAACATTAAGTTGAAATACCAAAGAGACATTGGTAATTGTAGGCAGAATCTGCTTGTTTGTTTCCTGGCTGCCCAGACCCAAAATAACCACACAGAAACTATATTAATTACACTACTGTTTGGCCAATAGCTTAAGCATATTCCTAGCTAGCTCTTACATCTTAATCCATTCCTATTATAATGTGTATTACCACGAGGCTTGTGGTTTACCGTTTAGGTTCCAGGGTATCTGTCTGCTTTGGTGGCTGCATGGTCTCTCCTTGACTCTGCCTACTATCTCTCTCTACATCTCTGTTCGCATTTTCCACCTGGCTTTACTTTGTTAAACCATTGGCCAAAAGCAGCTTCTTTATTAACCAATGGCATTAAAACATGTTCACAGCATACAGAGGGGAATCCCACATCAGGTAATCTATAATTAACAATTATGAAATGGGTTTGTATTTCTAGCACCCACTTAAAGCTGTACATGGCAACCTGTGTCTACAACCACATTGCTAAGGACAGAGAAAGGAAGCTGACTGAGCTTGCTGACCAGCCAGCTTAGTCACACAGTAACAGTCTCTGGGCTCTGAGGATGGTGGAGCAGGCCTCTGACACCCTCCTCTGGCATCTGTGTGTGAGTGTGTACTGGAGTGCATGCGTCAAACCCAGGCAGCACACACAAACACATTAACGTATTTCAAATACATGCAGCATGCACAATAAGCAATCAATTTAAGGAATGTCTTCTACAAAAGTTCTTCCTGTTTTCCACATGTGATACCAAGGACTTTGTATACTTAAAGTATCAGCGGCTCCTGTCTTTTTGATGTTTTCTGCTTAAAGAAGAGTCTTCTATCCCAAGCTAACAGAGGGCTTAGCACACAGTGCTAAGCTGACTGAAAAACTCAGGAGCTTGTTTCTCTTTCACTCAACCAGATAAGGAAGATTTTGCACAATGGCTTTATTCAGGACCAGCTTTTTATGTGAACCTACCATTCCCTAAAGCCCTGTCCTTATTCTTTTGGTTCAAACTGATTCCACACACTATCTGTATGCCTGCTTGTAGAAAGATAATGAAAAGCAAGCATTTCCATTGCAAGGTTAAGATAGATATTTCTCATAGGAGCTCTGTGTGCCTCCATCTGCCCTAGTTGTGCCGTAAGCACATCCAAGAGAACCTTCTGGGTCGGGCATCATTTGAGCTAATAGGAGAAGGAAGATCTTGGTCAGCATTGTTTGATGCTACAGTAGCTATGAATCCAAGGTCTTATTCAATATTTGAAGGTCAAAGTGTGTGGCTCAAAGGTCAAAAACCTGGTTCCAGCTTTGTCAGTCACTAGATGAGATCTCGCGAGCAGTTAGACAGTCGATGGTAGAATGGTCTCTGTTTCTGACCATACCATAGTAACATGTGCAGATTTAGCCTTTCTCCAGTTTTTGAAATGTGTATTTTCCCATGTCTTTGGCGATTAACGTAGAGAAAAATACAGCTGTTTTGGATTCTGGTTGGAAACTGTGATAAGCATGGCCTTGATGTGGAGAGTGACTGTCTGGACACCAGTGTCCTGAGCCCTGTGCATCTCTAGCCAGGTTTCCCATTCTATTGGGAGTGGAGCCACATCTTTCTGTAGCATAGAACTTTGCTCTTCTTTGCGGGCTCCTCCATCAGGAGCAAAGACATGGCACTGATATGCACATTGAACTCTAGTTTATACAAATATACATCAAAACTGTGGTAGTAAATAGTGCACTCAAAAGTTGTCTTCTTTGTGTGGTCTTCACCACTTAAATCACACTGCCTGTGGGTGACGTTGGCCTGTAGCTGAGTGACGCTTGAGCTTTCAACATGGTAGCAATGAAAACTGTTGAATATTGTTCTCTACAAGAACTTGGCATTTATTTACGTCTGGATTAAGTATTAGGGTTAAAAACTAAAAACATTTAAATTTGATTTTCTTAGGACATGTCAGCCCAAGGATCCTCCTCACAGCTTCCTAAGCCTTTTGCTCCAGAGCCAGAAGCTAAATACGGCACACTGGATGTGACCTTTGACTATGACTCACAAAGACAGAAGCTTCTGGTGACGGTGACAGCTGTCACAGACATTCCAACGTATAACAGGACAGGTGGCAACTCGTGGCAGGTGCATCTTGTTCTTCTACCTATAAAGAAACAGAGAGCCAAAACCAGCATCCAGAGAGGACCATGCCCTGTCTTCACAGAAACATTCAAATTTAACCACGTTGAATCAGAGATGATCGGAAACTATGCAGTTAGGTTTAGACTGTACGGTGTTCATCGTATGAAGAAAGAAAAGATTGTGGGGGAAAAGATTTTTTATTTAACAAAGTTGAATCTTCAAGGGAAAATGTCGTTACCGGTGATACTGGAGCCTTCCTACAACCCTTCTGTGAGTATCATCCAATGACCCCAATGCAGTTTCTGTGTATGGCATGTAACACAAGCAGCAGGAGACGTCTGTGACCAGCCCACTGCTCCCACACATCTGTCTACGCCCTTCTGTTTGCTGTCAGTTTACCTCGTGCTCTTTATCTGTCCCAAGCTCTCATGCAGGCCTTGGCGTTTGTTCCTGTTGCCTGCACTACATGGTTGATGGTGCATTGTCCAGACTCACTAGAGAAGTTACCCTTTTTTTCAGGTAAACTAGATGGCACAGGAGGAACTGTCTAGCCAAAGAACAAGTCCTTATTATATTTTTCATCCCTTTTGAGAAAAGACTGAAGTATTTCTCAGTGAAAAATTATGACCTCAAGCTTTTAAATTTTTTTTTAAATCACACACTATTTATCTCTCTATATATTTTTAGCAAAATTCCCACAAGGCATTCCAGATTACAGGAAAGTAATGACTACATTGTTTATTTAAACCAGGGAGGTGCATTATGTCACATAGTTATTTCTGTATGAGAAAATCTGTGACTTGGGTAAGTGTAAATTATGACTTATATTTATTCCTTTCTGTGTTATTTTGGAGAAGAAGCATTTTATAATGTAAATGTGAAGACTTTAGAATAGGTTTAAGTTTTAAGTTGGATGTCTGGTGTTTCACAGTTATTTCTAAGCTTTGACCATGTGAGCCTAGAGCCTCAGCTCTGTCCCATTGCATCGTACCAGGAAGGATCTGAACCTGCCAGCTTCCGTACACCATGCAGCCAGGCTGCTTCAACCAGGTCCTGCAGGGTCTTTATAAGGAAAAGATGATGGTAGATGTAATATGTCTTGTGGATTTCGGTTTTATTGATAGAATTAACACATCATTTAAAATTTTTAGAATAAGCAATTTTGGGGACATACCTTTTAAGACATTTTTATTTTTGAGAATTTCATACATGTATACAATAAAATATGATCATATTTTCCCAAATGACCATAATTCCTCCTATGTCTCCCTCAACATATCCCTATCCCAAATGCATGTCTTTTTTTTTTTATTAACCCACTAAGTCCAGTTAGTGTTGTCCATATGTGTAAGGATGTGGGGCCATCTACTGGAGTGTGGGACTTCTACCAACAGCCTGCATATTCAATCTTTTTATTTTCCATTACAGTTGAGTTGTATTCCACTGTGTAAATGCCTTTTAAAATGAGAGTGATTTATAAGAAGAAATGAAGGAATATGCAGACAATCTTTTAGGGGGTATACATTTTTAGAAACATGAAATATTCTGCTATTATTAATCCAGTTTTTAAAATTTTTCACTATCTACTATAGATGAGTAGCAGTTTTCTACAGAAAATAGGTTCTTACACAATAACTGAGTTAAATTAGAAGAGAAAGACCAGTGTCAAAAAAATGTGTTTGTATTGCTTTGATGACGTCATCTGTTCCCAGTTCTATATTAATTGTATTCTTTGCCATAAACAATAGAACAGTTTTGTCTTTGCTCAGACTAAATGGCTCCTACATTGTGTGTATTGCTCTGTAGTCATGGATTCTGTAATATGTAATATTTTTGGCCAGGCAGTACAGTGAGTTATGGGCCACTCACAAGAAGGAGAAGGTGCTAGGTAAGTAGCTTCTAACACATACTGCTTACATCTACAGAGAGGTGTCTGCCTTCTGCTGTAGAAATTCTCCCTAGGTGCCAGTGTGCCCGTCATTTAGTAGCTGCTTTAATTGCTCTTTAGCCTTGCTTTGCCCTTTCCATTTTTTCAAAATCTTACAACTCAGCACATGTTTTTAGGCCAATTTATAACACTGTTGTGTTGAATGTAAAAACATAGTATTGATATTACTCATGTATTTGATGTATGTTCCATAGAATAAGTGATCTCTTTGCTTAACTTTTAAAATAAGCTGAATGGAGAATTCTTGCTATTGTGGTTTACTTGAGAGAGCTTCTCTTTAATTCTGTAAGACATGTTTATGAGGTACATTTGTGGAAAAAAAGATTACTTCCATATTTAGTCATTTGTTTTGGTAACTTTTTAGTGATTATTTATTGTTATTATTGCAATAATATTAACTTTTCACCAAGGAAGTTTTAGTCCACCCAGATTTACAGATTACTTTTAAAATATGTTTAAAGATTTCAGTTTATTTCATAGATAGTAACATAATTCACATAGTATTTAGTTTCATAGATAGTTTTCCAGGAACTTGTTGAGTCAGAACACAAAGATGACTTTTTAAGAACTCTGTGATGGTTTTTGCTACTGAAAAAATTAACACAGCATTGAAATGTGGCTGTAGCTTGCGTGTGCCTCCTTGACTGTACCTGTGGGCAATGTGTTGAAAGTTGAAAGATTTGAGTTCCCTCTCAACTAGCTATGTAAGCTTCCTAAAGGAGTTTGAGCATCAAGTTTCTGGTGACTAAAATTAAAGGGTTTAGACCAGTGACCTACAGACTGTGTGTCTCTGATATTCTGATTCTGCTAACGCTATGGAAGAAGTTAGGTAAGATCAGAAATGGGATAAACTTTACTACATTGTGCATTTAATTGTGTGTATTTGTACGTAAGTGCGTGTAGATGAGGTGGGTGTGTACGTGCCACAGTGCATGTGTGGGAGTCTGAGGACGGCTTCTCTCCTTTCTCCATGTGGGTGCTGGGGACCAAACCCAGGGCGTCAGCCTTGGTGACAAGCACCTTTATCCACTGAACTGGATGGGGTAGATGGTACGTGTTTGCACTGTCCTGGTTTTCAGTGGACATGTCCTGCTATCTAGTTCTTCCAGACCTTTACAACTTTCTGAAGAAGTCCACCTCCTTTTCAGACACTCTGTAATACTTAACCAGGCTTCTTTGTGTTCAGAGCAAGGCATTGAGGTCTAGATTTACATTTGATGTTTGTTTTGTAATACAACATGAGTCAGAGAAGTACTGAATGTAGCCCATGACAAAGGGAATCTTAGCAGATGTTCACGCTCTGTCTTCTCCAAGCTGTAGACTGCATAGGGACTTGTCATAATCTAGGAAAATGCCTGCTGAGAAGTTATATTTAATTCTATTCCAGGTAAAGAATAGTTGTGTTCATAAGATAATGTAGATAATAAATTGGTCTTTACATTTCTTGTTTGTTTCAAGAAGATTTAAATTTCTGGCACTGGACATGAACATGTTCCTGCAAGTCCTCCCATGTCTTTATCCCATAGATGGATCTCTTGGAGGAAATGAACAGTCACACAGTCTGCAGCTTCCTCGATGGAAAGGTTGGTCACCCTGACCTCCGTGTGAGCAGTCAGGGCAGGAGTGCCATCCATTCTGGGCACTGTGCACGGTTGTGATGGTGCTGAAGGTGACAAACAGTGTGCGTGTGGTACCCTTGTAGTTACTGTAACTAGGAATCGCTGTCCTGTGATTAAAAAGCATCCCTACTTAGTTCTAACTCAATTCTAACATTTTTATGCAGATTTATTATACTTATTTTTTCTGGTATTGCTAACTGTTACAAATGTAATAATTATTTTCTTTCTTAGTCCAGAATTTGGGTTTTATTCTAGTGTATAACTACCTGACATCATATAATCAGATATCTAATGTGTAGAAAAACTGTGTGTTCATACTTCTGTAGTCTGTCCCCTTCACTTTAAAGGATCCGTGCCATCTGTAAGTTGATGTTCCATGCTGCTTGCTCATCAGGAGTTTTTAAATAGATTTAGACTTTTATAACATGAAAATTTACTCTCTTGAGACATCCTCTTTTAATTCTTAATTTAAATATTAGGTTTCATAACCAAGCCTTTCCTGAGTAACCCAGCTCTGGCATGTTATCCCAGCTTGTGTGACTGTCAGGAAACTTAGATGATTAACAAAGTGAAAAGTCTTGATGCAAATCAGACAGGTTGGCCAAAGCAAGAAAGACTATGACAGCTAAACAGTGACATTTCTTCTTTCTTTACTTGTCATTGAAATGATAGTATCATGATTTATCAGTGTACATACATACTCTCTTCATTTTTATACTTATGAGATCAAAGATATCTTAGAAGGGAGATTTACTACTAGGGCTTATAGGTTTAAAAAATATCCTAAAAGATCCCAGGTAGCAAAACAAATGAGGGATAGAAGGGTATCCAACTTCCCATACCAAAACCAGGCTTCAAGATTGCAAGAGACACTTATTTCTCTATTAGGTGTTTCCTATGTCCTCAGCATGACTCTTGGTTGGGTCAGTTCCAGTTGTGCTGTGGTGGCAACTGAAGAACTTCCTTTGAGTAGTAATTTCAGGTATCTCAGCCCAGAGTCATCTGAGTGCAGTGTGTGGGCCTGGGGCATGAAGCAAGAGCGTGTTGCAGAGGTTGTTCACCTCATGGCTGCCAGCATACAGAGGAAACATGTCAGGGAAGGTCTTTCCCTTGCTCACCTCCAGTGACCTACATCTTCCAACAGACCCTGCCTTCTTTGTTATCTCCTCCCAGTAAAGCCATCTTAAATATCCATCAAGGAATTGATCCGTTCATTAGATCAGAGTCCTCACGATCCAGTTACTTGCCCAAAGCCTCTAATACAAAGCCTATGAAGGACATTGCCTATTCAAAGCATTTACACCTATTTTGCAGATGGCAAAGTAGGCAAATATAACCTTGGCCCTCCCAACGTTATAGTCACATTGGATTGCTTGGCACCGAGCCACTCATCCTAGCTCTTTCAGTCTGTTTCCTACACTTAGGAGGAGGCACATGTCTGAGATTCCCTAGAGTTCTAGATGCTAATCAGATTCTGCAGCTAAATGTGTTTGTGTATAGTTGGCATTCTCCCTGCTCCAGCAAGTCTAAGGAGAGCTGTGCCCCCATCCCCCGCCATGCATGCTAGCAGTTGTCCATGACCTGTGTCTCCCCCTGTCCCCGTGTGCTAGCGGTTTTCTCTCTCCCCACCCACGAGCTAGCCGTTGTCTCCCCCCACACCCATGTGCTAGCCGTTGGCATGGAGCTCCAGTGGTAGCCACAGG